ATCCCCTGTATTATATTTCCAGTCCCATAATTTGTGTGTCTATTTGCCTGTTGTCCCCGTATCTTAGACGTAATTTCTAAAATGATAATTTTATTTATATTTTTCCTGAGTCATTTCTGAAATATACTGAATCAAAACTATATTCTCCTTCCTCTCATGTACATTTTTCCATATTGTACAGCATTGTAATTGAACTCAAGATGACAATTTTAAATAACTTTCGTCTGTTTTGAGGACACCTCTTTATGGCTTTAATTCTGTGAAGATATTATTTTGGTACTTGCTGGTACATGGGATTAGTTTCTCTGAGGTTTTGTTTTTAGTTTAATTTATTTATATTTGCTTGGGGACACAGCCAGTATTGCTCAAAGACTACTCCTGAATCAATGTTCAGCGATCACTCTCATCTATACTAGGAGGAACAAGTGTTGCTGGACATAGAACCTGGCCTGCAAAGCTTGTACACAGTCTGATATAACTTATAACTTATAACTTATGTCTGCAGCTTGTCAGGAGTTTCAAATGAAGGTTTGATGTAGCCTGGGTTCCTCTCTCCTAATTTCCTGGTTACAGAGTTTGATTTGCAATTATTTTTAGAATTTTCAAAATTAGGGTAAATTCCTTTTTGAAATCACCTGGCTCTATTTATGTAGCTACCACGACTAATTGTATTTGGATTTCTGCTAGTTTTGTCTTGCTTGTGCCCTGGCCGGTGTGGAGTCTGTCAATTCCCACCACTTGGTCCTCATAGAGCAACAATGCCCTGGAAGGAAGCTTTGGTTTTAGAGGATTTCTTATTTTGGTGGTGATGGAGGGATATCTCTCAGCAATAGGGTCTGAGGAGGCCATGTGGTACACCAGGCAGGAATCGCACTAAGGGTCATTGATATGCAGAGATCTAGCCCTTTGTGTTCTTTCCCTGTCCCCTGAAAGAGGCTTTGAATGTTTAGAGTTCCTGGGGCCAGATGGTTCCTAGGCAGTTCTGTGGAGCTTTTGCCTTTAGTTAGCTTTGGAGGTACAATCTCCTGCCAGTTTCAGTTGTTCATAAATAGCTAGCTGAAGATTATATGAATTTATAATAACTTTTTAATAATGAGAAAAACTGTTGTGGGGTCCATATCTGGCAATGATCAAGGGGCCATATGTTGCTGGGATTGGGACCAAGGGCTGCACACATGCAAGGCATGTATGTGCTTTATCACTTGAGTCAATACAACTCCCCTGAGTGAATTATTACAGACTTTTCAGAAATATGAGATTCACCCACTAAATTCCTCTCCATAAAGTGCCTTAGCTGATACCATTGCACTCTTGTTGCAATCTCTGTTTGTTGCCATCCATTCATATTCTGGGGTTCATTGGGAAATCATTTGCATATGGGTTTCATAAAGACGAACTTTGTGCACTTAAAAGTTTTTATTAAAGTGATTATTAACTTTTTCTATTTGAAAAATGGTTGCAGTTTTAAATTCTTTGTTTTATTTGAAACGCTGTGATTTACAGTACTGTTCATGAGAGGATTTTGTGCATTCTGTGTTCCAGCGCTACAGGTTCTACCAGTGTCTGCTTCCCTCCACCATTGTTTCAGAGTCTCCTCATGTCCACCCTCCATCCCCTGTCCTTAGTAAGCTCAGTTGTGTAAACCAATTATCTGGTTCTGTTGTCTTTCACTATTTGTTATTGCTTTACTATGTTTCTTACAAAGCTGTTAATAACTGAGTTTTGAGGACATTCACTCCTCAAACCCCACCACCAGCATAAGTGTCCAATGACCCAAGGTTCCTTCCCTCTCACTACTTTATCTCCTTTGGATAGCATGTATGTGTACTTTTTCTTAGAATTCCTACTAAAATTTCCTACTTTCTTATTGTAGCATTTGGGTAGATTAAAAAAAAATATGTATTTCCATCCCTAACTTTCTCCCAACCGCTTCCGGGAGCTGGGTTTTATAGTCTGCGTCTTGGCCATTGATGGGACTAACCTGGCGCTGGCGGCAGCTGGTGGGTGTGACGCCTACCTACTGGAAGATGGGGGGTCTGGTTGGAGAAGGCCCAGTCCCAGTCCGAGTAGCCTTGGAGACCTCAGCCCCGGGACCCACATGCCTGGGTTCCTCTGCCAGTTCTTTCATGCATGAGGCCCGTCCGGATGTGTGGAGAGTGGTCCCAGCATGACCGTGGCTGGCTCCGGAGGTCCTCAGCTGCTGGGGCTCTGCTCGGGGTGGGGGTGGGGGAGAAACTCAACCCTCCCCCCTCCAAGGGACCCCGGTGAGGACAGCCAGGCACAGGGGCAGGAGACTCTGAAATAAGAAATAAGTTTGGTAGATTTCTGTACAATAAAATTTCTTCTTTCCAAGTATACAGTTAGAAGCGTTTCAGCAACCTACGTAGTTTTATACTCACCTCTTTATCCGAGAGAAAGAACATTTGCCTCATGGCCCCCAGCTCAAATTTTCATGGGCCTGTTTGCAGATAGTCTCCTGCACTGACCCTACACCTTTACAACAAGTAATTTGTTTTATACCCGAAAAGTGTTATTACCTTCACTAGAAGATTATATGAATGGGACCTTACAATACATAGAATTTTTAGTCCAGCATCTTTCATTCAGAATAATATGTTTAATTGGTGTGTATCTTTGGGGTCGTAGAGATAGTAAGTACAGTGGGTCAGGCAGTTGACCAAAATTTGATCGCCAGTACCACATGTGGACCCTTAGGCTCCATTAGGAATAATCCTTGAGCACAGAGACAGGAGTAATTCCAGAGTACAACGGGGTATGCCTCCCCTAACAAAAGTTATCCATTTGTTACACATAACAGTAATTCATTTATTTTTATTGATGTACAGTATTCCATGATATGGATGATACTCCATGGGTTATTTAACAATTCATTTGTTTACATGCATTACATTTGTCTTTAGATAGATTTATGCCTTAATGAGTAAAGCTACATAAACATTCATGTAGAGGACTTTCTGAGACGTATGTTTTCATTCCTTTTGGGTAAATACCTGTGAGTAGGATTTCTGTGTCATCTATAAGTGTTTGTTTTATTCAATAAGAAACTCTAAGACCGCTTTCCGTAGTGGGTGTGCTATTTTATGTTTCCACCAATAACATATAAATGATTGGACTACTTTGCATTCTTATCAATACTTGGAATTTCCGGTATATACTTTTAATTTCTGGAAGTTATCAGGGTAAATAATTTATTTAAATAATTTGGGGACTGGAGAGATAGGACAGTGGGTAAGGTACTTGCCTTGCATGCAACTGACCCAGTTTCCATTCCCAGCGGAGCATGTGTACCCATGAGTTGTGATTCCTTGAGCAGAGTCAAGAGTAAGCCCTGAGCACAACCAGGTATGGCCCGCAAACAAAAATCTGATCTCTAAGGTTGGATCCTCAGGGCTTGGAAGATGTCTTAAAGATCTGCTTAATGCATGCAGAGGCCCACATGCAGAGTCTCTAGGCTCAGTTCCTAGTACTGCTTCTTCCCAGGCACTTCCAAGATGTATATGGTGACCCCAAGCACTGCAGAACCCAAGAAGCAACAAGTCCTGTATTGCCAAGAGTGGCTTGAAGCCCACTCAGGACGTCTTAGGAGAATGCCCCACACCCCATCCCCCAAAGAAGATGAGATGCTCAGTCCAACTCCAAGGCAACAGAATAATCATTGTTTTTTTTTTTATTTTGTTTTGGGGCCATACCTGGTAGTGCTCCTGGCTCAGAAATCACTCCTGGCAGGCTCAGGGGATCACATGGAGTGCTGGGGATTGAACCCTGGTCAGCTGCATGCAAGGCAAAAGTCCTTTCCGTTATACAATTGCTCTGGCCCTGAACAGTCATTGTTGATAGTTTCTGTCTTTTTTATCTCTTTCATTGTGCGTTTAGGGCCACCAAACTTAAGGAGTTTAGAAATGATATAGTCTAGGGGTTAGAAATCTGCTTCTACAAAGGACCAATTTGTTACTATTTTTGACTTAGTGAGCTATTTGCTCTCTGCCGTAACAATTCAGCTCTGCTATGATTGCAAGAAAATAGCCCCAAACAATACAGAAAAAGTAGGTGTGGCTCTATGCCAATAAACTTTAGTTACAAAAACAGGTGTCATGCTGAATTTGGCCCTTAAACAATATTAGGCTGACCTTTGATTTAGTCTAACAGTTGCAATTTATGGATGAAGGGCCTGAGCTTGTTTTACCCTTTCTTTCTGTTTTTAAGTGGAATAGGGAAGAATTAGGGTTTGGGTTTTATCTTCAGAAACAAACAAATTCTGTTCAGAAGGAGCTTGCCATATGCATAATTCACCATTTCCACAAATAATATTGTATGAAACTATTATTAATAAGCTTTTCAAAAGTATTAGCTGCATGGAGACTTTGGGAGATATTTTATATATTGCTATTCTCCTAGATACTAGTTTAGTTTTGAGCTTGTTATATCTCAACAGTGATCAAATCTAAGTGGTAATAAAATAAATTGGTTCTATAACCAATTAAAGGAAAACAAGCTATTCTCATAGACATCTTTAATAGACTTTGATTCCAGTTTTAGGAATGTTTTAACTTATTTCTCTCAGGTATTTAAACATTGTGTAACAATCGTGTGCTTCCTCTCACCCCTACAGTGTTAATTCCTGATTGTTTTGTTTCAGTAAATGTTTAGTTATGTGAAGAGTTTTAGATAAAAAAATAACAGGAACAGGACTTGAGAAATAGAGTAGTGGGTAGGGCAATTTCCTTGCATGGATTGACATAGATTCAGTCCCCAGCACCCCAGAAGTTCTCCTGAGCAACACCAGGAGTGAATCCTGAGTGCAGAGGAAAGTGTAATCCTTAGCAACCCCGAATGTGACCTAAAAAAATAAACAAATAAGTAATAGGAACGCAGGTACTTATTGTTCCCCGCAAGCAATCTAAAAATAAGCACTGGTCATGACTACTCCAAGAATTTGTTTAGAAAAGTCATCATCATGTTTGTTTTTTCCTTCTTTCCAGCACTGGAAGAGATATGACATCTATGAGAAGCAAACGAAAGAAGAAACTGACGTAGTAGTGCTGATAGAAAACCTGAAGAAAGCCTCTCAGTGATGGGAATAATTTATTTGAACATTCAAATGTGACCTTGTGAAGAATTATCCCATTCTTCATTTGTTATTGGGAACTTGGGAAATGGGAATGGAAACTACTGGACCTTTTCAAAACAGGCAGCTCTTAAGAGTCACAGGTTTCTTTATGTTGAATGGGAAGGTCCCTTTGTAGGAGAGAGTGGTGCCATTCTTGTTGAATCAGAAAAGCAGACATTCTTTGCAAGGACATCAAACTAGGTAACAGAAAAAAATGAGGGTGCAGTAAAATTAATCTCATTAGAGTTGTGATAACTTCCTTTGTGCATTATGCTTTCTTTGTATTCTTTGTGTCAAACAATACCAACAAAAATGTATTTGTGGAGGAACTGATTTTGGGTGCAAAGGCTAATGCCAGACTTGAATCACAGAGAATTTCTAGAAAACAAAAGAGTGACCATATATCTTATCTGTTGCGTGGGATCCTACTGAGTAGTGTTTGCGGCTATTAAAAAAAACTTGTAATAGTTCAGAATCATCATGCACATCAGCAACAATTTTACTGCTTTAAAAGGCCCAAGCCTTAGTGCTAGCTCCCATTGTGTTAACTACAGAAAAGGAGGGGCAACGTTACCAAATAAGAGCTTGCAAACCCAAGGGAGACTTTGAAGGACAGTGGTGGCAAAATGAATTATTGGGTATTGATTTTGAATCATGTGGTCTCTTCAACCGATTTTTTCCCTTCACCACTGCTACTCAAATCATGTGCTAAGTATCCAGATTGTGATAGGCCCCCCGGTATGAGGTAGGTATTTAATTGGAACTCCTGAATTCTTATATAAACGTCACCAGTCATTTTTTCATCTTTTCCTCCTCAATTCCTACACTAATTATCCCCACACTCTATTTACTGTAGTCTTTCATCATTTAGAATTTGAATAGGAAACTGCTTAGAATACCTAGAAGAGCAGGGACTCACATGCACTTCAATAAAGAGCAAGGAGGCTGAGATCCCATATCTAGTGCTTGAATATTTTGTCTCTTCTGTTGAATCTGCATTTACTTGAACATTTAAGCATTCAGATTTCTCCCTGACTTTTCTAAACAGGAATTATTAGCTTCAGTTACAAGTTTTCTATGCTTAAAAATGTGCTTTTTCTCTCTCTTTATAGCCCGAGCTTAGAATTTTTCTCATTTCCTTACTCTATCAGTGGGAACACGTAGTTTTTCTGTCTTTCATTGATAGCTGACATTTAAAGCATCATAGTTGGTTTCATTTCTCCCTTTTAACCTATATGAGGTTTCATTTTTTTTAATTGTCATCTTTTTAAAAAATTTTTATTAGTGAAACACCGTGAGATACAGTTGTAGACTTACAAATTTTTGTGCTTGGGTTTCAGTTATACAATGATCCAGTACCCATCCCTCCACCAGTGCCCATTCTCCATCATTTACATTTTTAAAAAATTTTTGTTAGTGAAACACCACGAGGTACAGTTGTAGATTTACAAATTTTTGTGCTTGGATTTCAGTTGTACAATGATCAAATACCCATCCCTCCACCAGTGCCCATTTTCCACCACCACGGGTCCCAGTATCCCCCCTTTTTCTTCATGTCCATATATATATGTACCCTCTACCCTCGTACTTCCTCTAAATTTAAAGAAGTATGGAAATGATAATTCCCTCCTAGTTTTCTTTTTTCCCCTCATACATATACTCAGATTACCCATAGGAACTTAAGGACTTTCTATACAAGTTCTCCAAACACTCACCCATTAATATTGATATAATGATGCTGCATGCAATTCTTTCTTAGTGGAAGGGAGATCAGAGATATCTGTTCACCTCATATTTAGGGAAAAAGTGGTAACCTTCTTGCACCACAGTGGAGGACCACCAGACCTGGGCTTTCCTGAGGAAATTAGGGGTGGGAAACTTAGAGGAGTTTAAGTTAAGAAAACTTATGGAAACTTAGATGGGAATCCTAGATGTAGGACAATCATAGATAATAAATTTTTCCTATCATTATTTTTGAGTCAGACAGGGGCTGGAAGATAAGCATAGTGGATGATCTGCTTTATTCTACTGTTCTCTAGATAGACTGGTTTCCCATGTAGGCATGAGTTTGCTTCCTAGCCAGGCGTTTCTAATTCTGGGAAATGAAACACCTAAATGCCCCATATTAACCAATTTTATGGTTATCCAATGTATATTTAGCACTTGATGGTGCTCTGTGCTCAAAAGACCTCCCTGGCATCAATCTCGGTGCTGTGCTCAGAAGTGACACCTGGCAGTGCTCACAGCACCATAGGTACTACAAGGGATAGAATCAGGCCTGGCTGCAGCAAGCAAGGAAAGTGCCTTAGCCCCTATAATATCTCTACTATCTCTCTAGCTCTTGCATCTTCATCTCTTAGTAATAAAATTGTTGAGGGAAAATGGGTCATTGAATCATAGGAGTTCCTCTGTCTGTTTTATAATTGTTGGAAAGAGATTCACAAGTCTTGGGAGATAGTGAACATTTTAATATATCAGTGAAATACCACTCCATTTGTAGGAAATTGGTAGGTTCATTTACTACTTTATATCTAACTTGGTATAGATTTTTCCCTCTGGATAACTCAGTAAACCCACTGTCAAGATGGCCATGCTTATTTATCATTCAGAGACTCATGGGGGGCATGGAAGGGATATGTGAAACAATGTTAAAAAAAATTTTGGTAATGTTTTCAACTAGGGATCATTTTGTTTAACCTCTTATAGGAAAGCTTGAGTAAATAAATATGAATTGTCTTTTATATGTCACCCAAATGTTTTCCTTTGGTCTTTTTTTCAGTGCACAATATTATGAGGCATGGGTGTCAGGAAAATTTGTATTTAAAAGAATAAATGTTGAAAAAATATTCCAGGATAGCAAATTTATCTTGTTATTAATCATAAAATTACTGGATATGATTCATAAACCTGTTTTCTTATCAGGACATGTAGACAGATTAGTTTAATTTCAGCACAACTTTTGTCTACAGCACTTAAAGGAATATAAACTTTTGCTAAATTCTAGTGGTAATAATAAACAGAAAGGGACTTTCTAATATTAAGCTTAGTTTAGAGTGTAATAGTTAGGAAAGCTGTCATGGCATACATTTGGTGAGACATTTAATCATATTCACAGATTAGATTAGAAATTAAGATAATTTTCAATAGCCATCCTTTTAAGAGATGGTTTTGTGGTTTCTTACTTTCTGTAAATGAAACAAAATTCCTTCAATGTCATGAGGATTGTTTATCTTTTGGGGGAGGAGGGTTGGGTCACATCTGCAGGTGCTCAGGGGTTACAGTGGTTCTGTGCTAAAGGTGTGGTGCTCAAGGTAGACTATATGTGGTGCTGGGATTGAACCAGGGTCGACTACATGCACAGTAAGTACCTTAACCACTGTGTTATCACTCTGGCCCTGTTTCTTATTTTTGTTTCACTCCAGATTATGTTTGGGAATTATCATATTTACTGAACCCAAACGCAAAGGTGGTGCTTATCATGGTCAGCTTACTTTTTTAACTATCATTAATGATCCACAAAGATTCTGGTAATCCATATCCAGGTTGGTATACATTTATTTTCGTTTTCAATAAGAAACCTTGTACTGGAGAAAGATATCTTACAATGGTAGAGTGCTTCCCATGCATGCAACCAGCTCTGGTCCAATCCCTGACACTTCATACTATCCCTTAGACCACTCCAGGAGTTATCTCTGAGCACAGAGCCAGGAGTAAGGGGTTTTGGCATTTAACTGTATTTCCTAATTGTCATACTTTCAGTTTACCACTGTAGCACTGTAGCACTGTCCTCCCATTGTTCATCAATTTTGCTTGAGTGGGCGCTGGTAAAGTCTCCATTGTGAGATTTGTTACTGTTTTTGGCATATCGAATATGTCATGAGTAGCTTGCCAGGCTTTGCCATGCGGGTATAATAACCTCGGTAGCTTGCTGGGCTCTCCAAGAGGGGCGGAGTAATCGAACCCTGGTCGGCCGTGTGGAAGGCAAATGCCCTACCCGCTATGCTAGCAACTGGAAAATATTTTACTGCTTGTTTTCCACATTTATTAGATAGATTCTTATGCGAAGAGAAAATTCATCATTATTGAGGCATATTTATGCAAATTTATGTGCATTATGTCACTAAGTCCCATGTGAGTTCTCTCAGAGATTCGCATTATTATTTTTCACTTTACATATGAATATAGAGACATATGATTGACACTTTTGCAAGATCGCACAGCTAATAAGTGACTGAGACAGAATTGTGACTGAGGTCAGTCTGACTTTCAAACCTGTGATTTATTCGTTTTAAAGAGGAAAAGAAGAAATGGCTTGTTTCAAATTATTGCCAAATTGCTTCTCTTTGTTTTGTTTAGGGGGGCCATACTAAACAGTGCTCAAGGATTGCTTCTAGTGGTGCTTGTAAGACTGTATGTGCTAAGAATTGAACTCAGGCTTCTTTCATACAAAGCATATGCTCAGCCTGTTAAGACATCTCTTCAGTACTAAAAGATTTGGAACTTAAATAATTTTGTTGCAAAGTGAGTTTTATTTTTTTTGACATATTTGGGCTAAGGATAATGCCCATACCCACCTGTTCTCAGGATTAACTCCTGTATCAATGCTTAGTGATCATCCCTAGTAGGGGTATGGGAACCATATGTGGTGCTGGGAATCGAATCCAGTTTTACTGCATTCAGGGCACATGCCTTACCAGCAGTATTATCTCCCTAGACCAGCAAAATAAGTTTTTTACAGTGTGTATGTTTAGGTACATATATTTGGTGGAATATAAATAAAAGGTAGCTCTTCATCTTTCATTTTATTACATTTATGGAATAATTTCTAAGCCTAAATAGTACAGAAATATCTCTGACTAGAAGCACATGAGGAAAATTCCAAGCACAGAAAGGAGTGGGGATGAGACCCAGTGGCTAAACCCTGTATTTGATTCATGGAACAAAAAAATATTAGCCAAAGGACAGAAAGACTCAAAGGTGTTTCTGGTGTGAGGAGAGAAGAGGCCTTGTAGAAAGTGCTAGAAGGTAATAAATATTGTACTGCCCCAACAACTTGAGTGATTCTGGAAGTTCCTTCCCCAAGGTTTCCAGGGAAAAGTCTGGGCCAGCTAATCATAAAATGTTGTGAGACACGAGCAGAGAATGTTTTCCAAAAGTGTGGTTTAATAAATTTTTGTTGTTTCAAACAAATTTTAATGTTTTAAATTTTCTTTTGGTGTGTAACTTTACTTTTGAATTAATATCATAATACATCTTGCCATTTAAAAAAATTTTATTGAATCACCTTGAGATAGTTACAAGCTTTCATGTTTGGGTTACAATCACACAATTATCAAACACCCATCCCTCCACCAGTGCACATTCTCCACCACCAATATCCCCGGTATACCCCCCCTTCCTCACCCTCCCCCTGCCTCCATGGCAGACATGATTCCCCATAATCTCTCTCTATTTTGGCCATTATATTTTGCATTAGACACTGAGAAGTTATCATGTTTGGTCCTTTATCTACTTTCTGCACACATCTCCCATCCCGGCCAATTCCTCCAGCCATCTTTTTCTTAGTGATCCCTTCTCTATTCCAGCTGCCTTATCCCTTTTGGTCATGAGGCAGACTTCCAGATATTATGCAATCTATCTGTCCCGTGTATCTACTATCCTTAGGTGTCAGCCTCATGTTGTTTATACTCCACAAATGAGTGCAGTCCTTCTAATGTCTGTCCCTCTCTCTCTGACTCATTTCACTTAGCATGATACTCTCCATGCCTATCCATTTATAGGCAAAGTTCATGACTTCATCTCTCCTGACAGCTGCATAGTATTCTATTGTGTAGATGTACCAAAGTTTCTTTAACCAGTCATCTGTTCTAGGGTACTTGTGTTGTTTCCAGATTTTGGCTATTATGAACAGTGCTGCAATGAATATATAGGTATAGAAGTCATTTCTACTATGCTTTTTTGCATCTTCGGGATATATTCCCAGAAGTGGTATCACGGGGTCATATGGAAGCTCAAATTCTTCTTTTTGAAGGACTGTCCATATTGTTTTCCAGAAAGGCTGGACTAGTGGGCATTCCCACCAACAGTGAAAGAATGTCTCTTTTGCCCCACATCCACGCCAGCACTGGTTGCTTTTGTTCTTTTGAATGTGTGCCAGTCTCTGTGGTGTGAAATAGTATCTCATTGTTTTGATTTGCATCTCCTTGATGGCTAGCGATGTGGAGCATTTTTTCATGTGCCTTTTGGCCATTTGTATTTCTTTTTTGAGGAAACTTCTGTTCATTTCTTCTCCCCATTTTTTGATGGGGTTGGAGGTTTTTTTTCTTGTACAATTCTACTAGTATCTTGCATATCCTGGATAATTATCCCTTATCAGATGGGTATTGGGTAAATATTCTTCCCCATTCTGTGGGCTCTTTCTGTATTTTGGTCACTGTTTCTTTTCTTTTTTTTCTTTTTGGGTCACACCTGGTGATGCACAGGGGTTTCTCCTGGCTCTGCACTCAGGAGTTACTCCTGGCAGTGCTCAGGGGACCATATGGGATGCTGGGAATTGAACCTGGGTCGGCCGCGTGCAAGGCAAATGCCCTACCCACTGTGCTATCTCTCCAGCCTCAGTCACTGCTTCTTTTGAAGTACAGAAGCGTCTTAGTTTGCTGTAGTCCCATTTGTTTATGTCTGCTTCCACTTTCATTGTCAGTGCTGTTTCATCCTTAAAGATGTTTTTAGCTTCAATGCCGTGGAGAGTTCTGCCTACATTTTCCTCTATGTACCTTATGGATTCATGTCTGATATTGAGGTCTTTAATCCACTTTGATCTGACTTTTATGCCTGGCATTAGACAGAGGTCAGAGTTCATTTTTTTTGCAGGTAGCTATCCATTTATCCCAGCACCACTTGTTGAAGAGGCTGTCCTTGTTCCACTTCACATTTCTTGCTCCTTTGTCAAAGATTAAGTGGTCGTGTATTTGGGGGTCTGTGAAAGAATTTTCAACTCTGTTTCATTGGTCTTCATGTCTGTTTCTAGCCCAGTACCATGCTGTTTTAATTACTACTGCTTTGTAGTACAGTTTGAAGTTGGGGATGGTGATGCCAACCATCTTCTTTTCCCCAATAATTGCTTAAGCTATTCATGGGGGTTTATTGTTCCATATGAATTTCAGGAGTGTTTTGTCTATTTCTTTGAAAAATGTCACGGGTATCCTGATAGGGACCACATTGAATTTGTATAGTGCTTTGGGCAGTATTGCCATTTTGATAAAGTTAATCCTCCCTATCCATGAGCAGGGGATGTGTCTCCATTTCCTAGTGTCCTCTTTTATTTCTTGAAGTAGTGTTTTGTAATTTTCTTTATATAGGTCCTTCACCCTTTTGGTTAAGCTGATTCCAAGGTACTTGATTTTCTGAGGTACTATTGTGAACGGGGTTGTTTTTTAATGTCTATTTCTTTTCTTCATTATTTGTATATAAGAAAGCCATGGACTTTTGGGTATTGATTTTGTAGCCTGCCACTTTACTAAACCGACCTATTGTTTCTAGGAGCTTTTTTGTAGAATCTTTCGGGTTTTATAAGTGTAGTATCATGTCGTCTGCAAATAGTGATAGTTTCACCTCTTCCTTTCCTATCTGTATTCCCTTGATACATTTCTCTTGCCTAACTACAATGGTCAGGACTTCCAGTACTATATTGAATAGAAGTGGTGAATGTGGGCAACCTTGTCTTGTGCCTGATCTTAGAGAGAAGGCTT